TTTTCTGTCTCTCTTCACTAAAATTGTGTATCACACTAGGGACCTTGTTCTGTTTTTCTGCTGTATCTTGAATATCTAGAGTAATGCTTGGCACATAGAAGACCCTCATTAAGCATTTTTTGAATAAATGAAAGGATGATTTATTCAGCTGTCTCAAAATATGATGGAATTTTACATATGCCTATCACCAGAGAACTGATTATTCTGTATGAACTTGCAAGAACAAAAACCTCACATATCGTAAAACTTCTTTCCCTTTCTCTTACTACCCTCCCCTGCCTTACTCCACGCAGCTAATTTCTACTAGGTTTACTCACAGAATGTGTTCAGTTCAGCCACCGCAGAAAGGAGAAGAGACTCACAAAACAAATGTAGGAATTTGTGTGAAGTGTTGCACAGGGAGAATAATTTCCTTTTTCATCTGCCTCCCTCCACTTACCTGGGAATATACATTTCTCTTTGCAAGTTAAGTTTGTAATGGATATGACCTTTTAAAACTTTGCTCATGCTGAGATTAGACTAAAGCACTATCACATCTCTCATTCCTCTAGCATTTGTCTTAGGCAGTATTATAGGAACCACTAACACTATTTAACAAATACTGTGGCTGAAGCTGTGGGAGGATACATGTTTTATTCCAGGCTGACCCTTGGCAAGTGTTAGTGCTGCAACTGGAGCCCAGGTCTTTCCTTTCATTCCCAGTCCATTTCCCACTACAACTAGGATAAGTCCAAAGAATATTAGCCCAGAAAATGTCAGTCATTAAGCAGATGGAGAACTCTATAAAATAAAGTCCAATATCAATAAGATGTTCTCAGGTGTCTTTCAGTAAACCCAGTGGTGTCCTTCATATGTTCAGTGAAACCAGGGACAGTGCAGGTAACCATTAACAAGTGACTTTAGCTCATTCTGGCTTCCCGGGTAGTTGAATCTAAAGCTGATAGCCCAGTGAGTGCCCATCAGTGGGTTATGTGGAGTTGCAAAGGTCTAGGTGTGAAATCAGACCAGAATAAGACCCACATAAACATTATCACATCCAAATAATGAAGACAGGAGAGTAATGGGGCTGTGTGGGCCCTCTGGCCTACTACTCTCTCACTGAACATTCTCAGACAATTATATTTCTTTTATACCTTTCTATGGCTCAATGTTACCTACAAAATAGAACAAATCAGTCAGTTCCCACTAGATTACACTACATAACAAATAACCTTGTTTGTGTTCCATATTAGCTGTGCTTCATGTGTGGTTATGCATGGCAAGTGTTATTCTGTCTCAGATTCAGGCTAAGGAGCATTCTATGCCTGGAAAATGTTGCAGTGATAGTACTCAGAAATGAGCAAGGGATAAAGTCAAATGGCTAACGCCTTTTGTGATCATGTGTTTTTTTTTTTTTTTTGGGGGGGGACACAAAGTATTTGGAAGAAATCAACCTAATCTACCATATGAGGGAACATACTTTATGGGATAATTTTAATGATTAAATTCTTATAAAATGTTTAACCCATCTTAGCATGTCCTGAAATTATACAGATATGAAGACATAGATTAGCTTAGTTAGGCACCTCCGTCCCAGTTCCCTATGCCTGCAGAGCTGTGCACACTGGAGTAGGGGGCTGTCACTAGGAATGTCTAGAGCAGCACTATGTGGTACTTAGCATCATTAAGAGATGAGCAGCTGTTTTAGCAGAGAACTTATTTTTGCACAGATGAAGGGTGACATCTTATTGAAATAATGTCATAAAAGTATACTCCACTTTGGCTTTCCTTTGTATCTTAGTCTCTCAGTCTCATGAGATACTCTTATCAGAAAAATAGCTTGATTTTATTTGGAGAATCTGGATTTTAGTTATTTTTTATCAAAATTATCACCTTCTCCAGCTTGTTTACTCCCTTCTGCCTGTCATCCCATGACTCCTACTTACATCCTCTTGCGCCTTACCTAGTATTTCCCTTATTCTCTTTAAGACTCAGCCTCTTAGATATATGTTAACACCTTGCTCTACTTAATCCATATGTAAGTAGGTCTTTTCCCAAACCCTGATTAGTCAGAACTGTTATTATGTAAGTTTCTGCCATTACTAACTGCAAAATGAATATAAATTTCTAAGAAGGCAGAAGATTGAATACAGGTGTAGTGAGAATATGCCAGAGTGGAAAGAAAAATATATTCTTTCGTTGAATCTAGTTGTATAGATTTTTTTTTTTTGGCACAAAAGCCCATGGTTTCTATTTCTCTGTCAAGTACACTTACATTGTGAATTCCAGAATCACTGAAGTTCATTATGCTGAACAAGTACTCTCTCATCCTACACCTGTTAGTGGCGTTGATGGCTCTGAGTAACAACTACCAAGTCAGCTAAGCCCTCTCCTGTGTCAGCATCTTCCAAACTATTGTCTTCTCTCTGACCCAGCCATCCACTCCTACTCTGCATATTCTGAACGTGTTCCTGACTTTTCTGACTCAGAGACCCTACTCCACTCCTCCTGTTATGGACTAAATGTTTGTGTCTCACGAAATTCATATACTCATGCATCAGTGAAGGAAATTCTATAGGGAATATACCTGAGGAAGGTGGGGGGAAATATTGTTTAAAAATGAACAATGATATAAAAAATAAATTTAAAACATTTATTTGTATTATGATTATAAGAAAAAAAATTCATGTACTGAGAGAGTAATCCTCAGCGTGATGGTATTTGGAAATGAGGCCTTCGGGAGGAAATTAGGTTATGAGGGTGGGACCGCATGCTGGGATTACTGCCCTTACAGAAGAAGATGCCAATGAGCTGTCCCTCTCTCTCCCCCTGCCCCTCAGCTTTGTGAAGACTGAGTGAGAAGATGTCTGTAAGTCAGGAAGTGAGCCTCGCCAGGAGCTGAACTGGCTGACACCTGGATCTCAGACTTCCCTACTTCCAGAATTGTGAGAAAATTAATTTTTATTTACCTGGAGGGCTGATCATAGATCTGAGATATTGGGGCAGGGGGAGGAAGAGCATAATGGACTATGGGTGCTTCGGTGGTGGGAGAAATCCTACGCCGTCAGAAAATTAACAAGGATGTAAAACAATGGCACTTAATTAAAAAAATCATTTTTTGTTGTTTATTTTGTATGGTAGCCTGAACAGATTAATATAGCTCCTTTCTATAATTAGAGAATGTGAGTTTTATGAAATTTGGAGAACACCTGGAGAATGTCAATATTGAAGGGAGAGGCAAAGACCCAAAAAGGCATAGAATGAATCTGAAAAGACACAATTTTATAAAAAATGTTGTATAATTTCAAGAAATAGGTAATTGAGGAGAACTCCTAGCTGTATGTAGGTGAACCCTTTCTACAAAATAAGCTCCAGAAAGCTGTATAAAATTGTTGAAAACAACAAATCTATTGCTCTGTAAAACTGACAAAAAAGCAGATAACAAATTGAGAAGTATTCCTGGAGAAACTGCTACAGCTTCAGATAGGATCAGGGAGAATCTCTGGCTTCCTGGCAGGGCCATTCCTAGCCTGCCCACCCCACTTCCCCGCACAGCACATAGGGCAGTAGTATTATCATTGTGTCTGAGAAGCCCAGCCGCTTTGTTGAGCCGCTTCTGCCTTGCTTGATTTGAGAGGCAAGGTAGAATGGGTGGGGGCCATTTTTATTGGTTAAAAGTGGTGAACTCGATAAAAAAAATTGGAGATCTATCTTTATTTTCCTAAGTTTGTGGTCCTGTCTGGAGAAATGGCAGGCATCTAGCAGAGTCTATAAATGAGAGTCACAGGAAAGCTGGACAAGCACCCAGCCCTCCTGACTGAGCAGTGGTATGCACGGGAAAGAGATATTGGAAAAAGCCTATAAAACAGAAGAATGTATAAAAGACCTGTCTTGAAAACAGGCTGAAATTTGAATTTTCTCTCAAACCCATATACATTGAATGGACAGAGCTACAGAAACTATGTAGGCTTGGAGTATGTGAGCACAATTTTTGCTAGCTCTGCAGATGCAATGGGACCCCTGAAGTTAAGAATGAACATCTAAGCCCAGACATCAATAACCACATATTGTAGTGAAGACAGATTTTGCAGTTAAATTCCCTTTTACAAAGAGACAAATCAGAATTCAGATTTGCCACAATGTATTATTGAAAATGTACCGTTTTCAGAAAAAAAAATTGATATGTGAAGGAACAAGGAAGTTTCCCTTTCACTGGGAAAAAGGTAAGTTACTAGAATTAATACTGAGTGAGCTCAGATGTTGAACCTGTCAAAGAATTACCAAAGACTGTGTGGTATATTCATTGAATTAAAGTAAACTATACTCAAAAAATTAAAGAAAATGTGAGAACAAGGACTAAACAGAGGGCCTCAATAGTGAAAAAAAAAAACCTATTAGGAAAAAAAATTGTAAAGTTGATATGCACCATTACTGATATAAAAATATACTAGATTAGCTCAAACAGCAAATCTGATGACAGAAAAATAAAAGTATATAGGAAAGAAGATAAATAGGAATTGTCTAATAAGAGGACTAGTGAGGTAAAGAGGAAAATGAAGAATTTCAGAAACTTAGGAGTCATACCACTGTAAGCGCAATGAGAGTGACAAGAGAGAGAAATGTGACAGAAAAAGTTTTGAAAAATTAATTTAATGAGCCAAAGACTCAAGCAACACCAAGTGGTATAAATATAATAACAACTTGCAGCAACATAGTTAAAGGAAATGCTGGGAAAATGACTCATCGCATCCAGGGGTGCATCCACACTCACAGTGGACAGCTCATCGGGGACAAAGAAAGCACGAAGGTTGTGGCGTGACATAGTGAAAGTGCTGATAGGAGGGAAGAGAGATCACTCAAGGACTCTCCATCTAGTACAAGCGTCCTTCAATATGAAGGATTTTTAAAAATGGAAAAGTTTGTTGCGAGCAGATCTGCTTCTCGACAAATGAAAGATGTTCTTTCCTTTCAGGATTAAGGACACCAGATGGGAACTCTAACCTATCACTGGAAATTTATAGATCACAGGCAGTGGTAAGCATGCATTATATAAATCAGAATTCAAAGATACATACAAATAGGCAGAAAATCTAAGAATAGCAAAAGATACACCAGACAAGTGGTAATCATAAGAGAATTACAATAGCCATATTATTACTGGGCAAAATAGACTAAGATAAGAAGTAACATGGGACAAATAGTATATTTCACGACAAAAATGATACACCAGGAAGATACAATTATTTGTGCATATACACCTAAGAAAAATTCTCCAATTACTTAACGCAAATATTTAGAAAGGAGAAATAGATGATTCAACAATTACATATTTTAAAGTTCCTATGCCTAAAATCAGCAAGCATATAGGATTAAATGGCCCTATAAACTAACAAAAAGTAATGATAATTGTTACCTTTGTAGATTAGAGGATAGTTGTTGGAATGTCACATAAAGAAAACTTTCTAGGTTGAAACAGTTATACAAGAGGTGGAAACATGACAGAGATTAAAAGATAAGGCTATTAAGACTCATAGAACATGAATCAAAATAACCAAAACCCTGTACCTACTACTGCGTATGTTTAATTAGTTGTCATTCTACCAACAAAGCAAACGCCGAGACCAGATAGCTTTATGGATATGTTCCATCTACCTTACTTTCATCTTACACAACTCTTCCAGAGAACAGAAGGAAGAGGGACATTTTACATATAATTGCAGACTTGGTCTATGACTTACTGTCTAAAGAACAGGCTTTTAGACAAATGTACTGTGACAATTGGGAACCAAATGGATAAAGTAGCAGATTCAAGTCACTGTTAACTTACAGTCTTAGGTAGAGTTACTAGAGGACACAAAACAATGTTACAACTAAAACACAATGTTGTTTCATGGTTTTCTTCCGATGCAAATATTCTCATTGTTGTTTCCCCACTCTGGGATAGCCTTCTGTCCTGCACACAGGTTTGTGACACTCAGGTAGAAATCCATGAGTGACAGTAAGAAAAACGCTGTTGTGCTAACGGAATCACTGCTGGACCTCGGGTGGATATTATCTAAAGAATCCTTCTGGACTTGGTTTAGCTGTAACTCCCATTGGAATAGTTACTCTGCGGTGCTGTGTTGGAGACAGCTCTTCCACTGCCTTCACAACTCCTCACTTCCTCATTTACCTTCTTACTGGGGCATTGGGAGGTGAGGGTCTGTGTGACAGAGCCCTCTGGACATCACAGGTGAGGGACTCTTAGCTCAATCAAATGTATATGACTTCCAATCTAAGTAATATATGACTTTGTAAGACAACCGTGTCTCTCAATACAAAGAGTAAAAAGCTGTGAGTAATGAACTTGGAGGATGTGGACTCTAGCTTGGACACTAGTGAGCCATGAGACAACTGTATTTGTGTTCCAGCATCATGACCTCACTATCTCTAGAGAAGCAAACAAGATAACTGGTTTTCTATGGAGAAAAAAAAAAAAAAAAAAAACCCTTGCGTGATTGTTACAGTTAGATTTCCATTCAAAACAGCAGTAATTTAGTTATTTAAAGAATTATGCTGTGTGTTGATTGCAAAACAGATTAAAAGTCTCAGGACTGCCTGTCAGTTACGGCCCATGGAATTTTAATTAAATCAGGTTACACTTCAGTCCATTTATCAAGGATCTTCCATTTACATTTTAGGAGAGAAGAGCCAATGTCAAATACAATATGAAAGAAGTTCATCTCAGAAACCTCACGGCTCCTGTCAGCTCCTTTCAGATAGAAGAACCACTAGTTCCTGACAGCATGTGCCTGGCGTGCAGTTCAGGTAAGGCTGGAACTTGATCACTGCAACCTTGTTGAAAACACAGAAGAACTGCTCTTTGTGAATCTGGCAGCTGAGCAAACAATCTCTCTACTTCATAAAAGGGATGTGACATAATGGATCAAGGCCATTCTGTAGTCTGTGGAGCCATTACCTTTGCACAAAGAGCAAGTACCTGAGCTGCTACAAATGAAATAGCACACGCGCTCTGGAGAACGCATGGGCGGTGTGGAGACTGGGCATGCCTAGAAGACACGAGGCCACTGGGGCAGGGCCTGGGCCTCCAAGGACAAACACACCAAGGCGAAGTTTCTCACAGTAGATGGGTAAGTCACCAAGTCCTTTCAAGTTCACAGTGCTGCTTGTCACTCACTTCTCCTTTTCTGTGCCACCACCCTCGCTCAGGCCCTCATGACCTTTCTGTAGGAATGTTGCTTTGGGATATGGGAATGGCCTCATCTCTACTGTTGCTGCTTCCACTGCTGCCTTCCACGTAACTGCTGAAGATCATGTTCTACTTTCTGGTTGTAACCATCCCCCCAAATTTTTGTTTACCTGGAGAGCTGATCATAGATCTGAGATATTGGGGCGGGGGGGGAAGAACATAATGGACTATGGGTGCTTCGGTGGTGGGAGAAATCATGGTTCTCTGCTGCCTCTTTACTCTTTCACATCCTATCTTCATATTCTAGGCTAATCTCTCATATTTGGGGAGAATTTATATTCTCCCCAAATTGGGTTGTCCTTTTCTGGTTTGCAAATTAAACCTCCTACTCATCTTTCAAGACTCATTTTACTTGCCTTTTGTCTATTTCTTTTCCTGACAGGCTCCTCCACCTCTTCTGTAAAGCTGGTCTTACTGTATTCTAGTTACTTATGAACATACCTATCTCTGCTTCTAGAAGCAAGCACCTTGAATTCATGGGCTGCCTCATTTATTGGTATCCCCAATCACCAGTGTATCGCCTGACAAATAGAATGTTTAATAAATGTTCATTCAATCAAATTGAAAACAATACTAAGTGGATACATTTTATTGCCTGCGTCTGAAAATACTTCCTATGCTGGGTAAACGTCCCATCCTAAGAATCTATTTGGGAAATAGTCTGTCTCCCTTTATGGAAAGTGATGTGCTTTCACAGTCCAAAGTGAGGGCTATGACTCAGGACCCCCCATCATGACCCCCGCTCTGGACTTCAAAGGAGGATGTGAACATGGAGAGTCCTCTCTGAGGGCCGAGGTGGGGGCTGCTGTGGCAGCATGTAGTTTGGTGAGCCAGAGGTGTTGGGGCTGTTTTGTGGTGTGATTTGGGGAACTACTTTGTTTAGGTTGCCTCTCAGCCCAATCCTTCAGCCTCCCAGAGATTCTCTGCCCAAAACCATTTCTTCATATTTAACCAGGGCAAAGGCACTTCTGTTCCTTGCAACAAAGAAATCCTCACTCCTTTGCCCTGGCGGTGGTTGTGGTTTTGCTTAAGTTTTTCGGACCCATCGTCAAAACCATTATCTCCAACAATCCACACCTCCTGCCTCCCACTCCCCCAGCCCAAAGCATTTGGTATCTTTAATATGGTTCTTACAGTACTGTGCTCTAACCAAACAATGATCTGTATACTTCACAGTTTTTTGATGGCGGAGATTGAGTTTACACAACAGCATGCTAATAAATGATAAATTGCTAGGAGAAAATATACATTTTCTACTGCCCCCATTTAGTTATCTTGAATCCAACACAACCACAGATTGCCCACAAGTAGTCTGGGGCACTGTACCTGTGTCCTCCATGGCTCCCGATGAGCACATGTTCCTTGACTTTTCTTGGTACTATTTTTAGATTATCCCTAGGAGGCTGAAATACCACAGGCCCCAGATATTTGAATTCAGAGATTTCAAAGGACAGTATATAATGGCTGATATTTTGTAACCAATTAGCTCTATGTCAAATTCAATTTTAACCTCACAAATTTTGTAATCATAGATGATTCATTAACTTAAGTGTCCTTACTAAAAGAGAACTAAATTACTGGCTGTTATATCAAAAATCAGCTAAAGGAAAATTACGCATGCCCAGGTATTGAAAGTGTAAGCACACTGAATTGCTCCTCCATGCTCTTACACTCTGTCTTTCTCTCTCTCTCACATACACACACACACACACACACACACCACCACCACCCCCAACACTATTTTTATCAAGGAAGAAAGCACTGTATATCTAACTCCCATGATCTCTGTTCCTCACCCACATAGCCCTTGAATTCCAGTTATCGCACTTTTGATTGTATGTGGTAGGACCTTGTCCTTTCATTATTTAACACTTGTGTATTTTTTTTCCTATTTCATACTCCTCACCACTCCACACTAGATAGGAAGCTTCTGAGGACTGGGATTTTGTTCATGAACTTTCACCTCTTACAAGTGTCTAGTAAAGGTTTACCATGTGGGCATCAGTAAGTATCTACAGAAAATGATTCTCCAATCACATGATTCTCCAATCCTGGAGTGCAGAAATTAATTTCTCCTAAATAAATACTTTAGGTTTTACAGGTTGACTGGTGTCTCATGAAGAAGTACCTCCTAAGTTAATTTCTAAGAAAGCCAAATTCCATTTGGAACTGGAGGTAATGATCTTGGCTAAGAGGTTGTCTTACTTGCTTCATTACCCAACAAATTAGCACGACAGCAGAATACATGACCCCCAACTACAAATCTGTTTTACTGGGTGACTAAATCACATTATCATAAAGGCTATGACCTGACAGATTTTTCATGCAGGACAAATGAATTTTTCCTTATCCTTTTCTTTTTTTTTTTTTTATCATATTTCCTAAATGTAATTCCCTTCAACTTGATACAAATTGCAATGAACCCGTAAATAACTTGGGTAATATTGACATCTCAATAATAAGTCTTCCTACTCATGAATACAGGGTCTTTCAATTTATGACTGCTTTAACCTCCTAGGTCAAATTTATTCCTAATGCTTTATTGTTTTATACATACTGTTATAAATGGAATTATTTTCTGATTCCAAGAAACTAAAAATATCTATTGAAACTGAAATAGAGATTGTGTTATTTCATATTTTTCCAATTTAGATGCTCTTTTTATTTTCTGATTGTTGCTGCTAGGATTTTCTAAAGAGTGTAGAACAGCATTGTTGAAAATGGACATTCTTGTCTCTTGTTCCTGATCTTTGGAGCAAAGTTTTCAGATTTACAATTGACTATGATGTTAGGAATTTTGCCACATTAAGGGAATTTCCTTTTATGCCTGATTTTCTGAGCTATTCTTAAAGGTGTTGTACTTGTCAAAAGTCTGTCAGTGGAGATGATTGTATTTTTGATTTGTTCTATTATTGAAGTTTATTTAAAAGTTGATTATATTATATTGACCCATTCTTAATCCTGGAAAATCTCTTACTTAGTCATAGTGTGGTCTCTATTTAAAATCCTGTTGGGTCCAGCATGCTAGTTTTTTGTTGAGGATATTTGCATCAATATACATAAAGGGTATTTGTGTGTGGTTTTATTTTCTTGTGTTATCTTTATCTGGCATTGACATTGGGGTAATGCTAGCCTTATATAATGAGTTCGAAGCAGTCCCTCAATTTTTTCCAGAAGGGTTTGTGTTAATTCCTCTTTCAATGTTTGGTAAAATTCACTGGGGAAGTCATCTGGTTGTATGCTTTTCTTTGTGAGGAGGTATTTTATATCTTTGTTAAATGTCTTTTGAGATTTCCTGGTTTTTGAGTCATTTAGATAATTTGTGTGTGAGATTTCCATTTCATCTAAGTTATCTAATAAATTAGCATCAGTTGTTCATAGTTATTCTTTTCTCCCTTTAAGTTACATATTAATGTCTCCACTTACGTTTCCCATTTTAGTTATTTGTGTCTCCCCCTTTTAATCTGTCATCAAGTTAAAAGTTTGGCAATTTTGATGTTATATTCAAAGAGATACTCTTGTTTTCCTTGACTTGATCTTTATTATTCCTTTCTTCTCTAACTTTATTCTTTTTCTGGCTCATTAAGGTGTAAAGTTAAATGGCTGATATATATTTTTCCAATGTGTTTATAACTTTCAATTTTAATGTCTATGGCTGATATATATATACACACACCTGTATGTCAATATACTAATATACATGCATACACACACAATGTCTTAACAGTGATAGCACTGCATTCCCATTAGTTATGGTATGTTGTGTTATGTAGTATTTTTATCTTCATTTAGTTAAAAATCACTTTTTGTTTTTCCTGAGACTTATTTGACCCTTTAGTTATTTGGAAGTGTTAATTTCCATCATTTCTGTCTGTTGTACAACTATAATTGTGTTGCTTTCTAGTTTAATTCCATTGTTATCTGAGAATATACTTTTTGAGTGATTTCTATTTTTTAAATTTGTGCTTTATGGCCAATCATGGTTAATATTCTGTGTGAGCTTGAGATAAAAATGTATTCTGTTTCAGGGAAGAGTGTATTATAAATATCTATTAGATCAAGTTGACTGATAGTGCTGATCAGGGCAACTATATTCTCAATGATTTTCTGTCTGCTAGACCTATCAATTACAGAAAGAGGGATGTTGATTTTGCCAGATATGATAGTTACTGTCTATGCTTCTGGTTCTATCAATTTTTGTCTTATTCATTTTGGCTTGATGCTACTAGAGTCATACACATTTGAGATTATAATTTCTTTTTGGAGGGTTGACATTTTCTTACATCATACGGTATATAGCATTATGATATTATGAGTTGTACACCATTCCATACTGAGAAATAGTAGACTAAGTACATCATTGGACATTATTTTTCATCGTACAATACTGCATATTACAATACTTAACATTATGATATAGTACATGTAATGGTGTAATGTTCAATATCAATTTTATACAATGTAGTGTAAAATGTTTGACAATATTGTGCAATTATGTACAATACTGTTCACTGTACATGATGATGGTATAAAAGTACAACACACAAAATATAATGTATGTCTATCTACAATAACAAGGCAATACTACATATTGTGTTGTGCAATGTACAGTATTGTAATGTTCAATATTGGACAATACAATCTACATTATCATATTCAGTATATAATATTGTAATACTCGACAGTATCCTGCAGTGTACAATAATGTCTAGTGTCCTATATGGACTAGAAAATAAAAATTGTACCTTTTTCTCTGTTGGAAAATATCTACCTATGCCCTAGCCAGGCTGTCTCAAAAGGTGGAGTAGCTTTTACAACTCACAAAAAGAAAACAAGCAACCCAATCAAAAAATAGACAGGACTAAATAGGCACTTCTCCAAAGAAGACATGAAGATGGCCAACAGGCACATGAAAAATGCTTATCACTTATCATCAAGGAAGTGCAAATCAAAACCACAATGATGTACCACCTCACACCTGTAAGAATGGCCCATATTAAAAAAAAAAAAATACAAACAAGTGTCAGTGGGAATGCAGACTGGTCCAGCCCCTATCGAAAGAAGTGTGAAGATTTCTCAAAAGACTAAAAATGGATTTACCATCAAATCCAGCAATTCCACTCCTACGTATCTATCCAATTTTCACTGAAACAGCAACTCCAAAGGAAACCTGCACTCCTATGTTTATAGCAGCACCATTACAATAGCCAAGATACGGCAAACAAATGCCCCAGAACAGATGAGTGGATCAAGAAGACGTGGTAAACATACACTATGGAAAACTACTCAGCAATCAAAAAAGATAAATTCATGCCATTTGTGGCAACATGGATGGAACTGGAAGGCATTATTCTAAAGGAAGTGAGCCAGAAGTAGAAAGATAAATACTTTCAAGTATATGTGGAAGCTAGAGAAACCAAACAAAGGATCAGAAAAAAAGATACTCTTTGAGACTGACCCTTGAAAGTGAACCATAGATCTGAGACTCTCAGGAGGAGAAGGCAGAGAATGGAGAGTGTATGTGCTGGAGGACTGTGGGCTCGCACCTGAGGGGAAAAATCCTGTATTGTGGAAAATAAACATGGGTGTTAGAAAAAAAAATTTTTTTGAAGAAATGCTACAAGAGCTTTCCAACTCCATTAGGAAAGACAACATAAGGATTATGGGTGTCCCAGAAGAGAAAGACAGAAAAAAGGAAACAGAACACATTCAAAGTAATAGTAGCTGAAAACTTCCCAAATCAGTGAAGTGAATATACAAGTCATGAAGTTACCAGTATACCTGTTTATCTAAATGTAAAGAGACTTATACCAAGACAAATATTAGTGAAACTATCACAAAGATAGGTGGTTTGGTGCCTTGGGAAAAAAAGCACGAGACTTAAAAGTTTTCATCATATAGCACTACTAGTGAAATTTGCCACATTTTCAAAGAAGAATTAAAACCTATCTTTAAATTCTTCCAAAAAAAAAAATGAAATGAAAGGAATACTTCTAAACACATTTTATGAAGCCAACACTATCATGATTCTAAGACTGGAGCAAAATCACACAAAAATGCAAGCTACAGACTAATATCTGATGAACATAGATGCAAACATCTTCAGCAAAATAACTAGCAAGCTTGATGCAACAATGCTTTAGAGGAATCATATGCCATGATCAAGTAGGATTTATTCCAGGGTTGCAAGGATGTTTCAACAGATGCAAAGCCCATCAACAAAAGGAAAAGCCATTTGACAAGATTCAACATCACTTTACGATAAAACCCTCAACCAAATGGGTATAGTAGGAATGTGTATTATCTAACAAACCATAGTGAACATCACACTCAATGGTGAAAAACTAAAAGCTGCTCTAAGATAAGGAAAAAAATGAGGATGTCCAGTCTCGCCACTATTTTTAAAAATATTCTTAGATGTTACAGCAATTACACAAGATATAAAAGGTATCCAAATTTAAAGAATTAAAACTATCACCATTTGCAGATAACATGGTAAAATTGATAGAAAAATCTCAAAGACACCAGAATGAAGATATTAGAAATAATCAAATATATAGTAAATGGAAGGCTACAAAATAAACCAAAACCTGTTGTATTTCTATATGCAAATAAAAACCAAGCAGAAATCAGGAAGAAAAAACTCATTTATAATGAAATAAAAATGAATTAAATACCTTGAAATATATTTTACCAAAGAAAGGAATCAGGTGTACACTGAGCTCTGTGAGAAATGCTGAAAAAAATAAGACACACAAAAAAGCAAAGATATTCTATGTTTGTAGACTGGAAGAATTAGCCTCTTCCAAGATGAATAAAAAGCACCATCTTTGTAATCTCATTCCCGTTTCTCTGTCCCTGTCCTTGCAGAGAGAGCGCCTTGCACCTAATGAAGGTCTTGAACGCCTCAGAAGGGTTTCACTCAGTGTCCTGCCTTTGTCCCAAGCCTCTGGTAGATGGATTGCTAATGGACCCCGGGTGTATTTCTCTTAGGTCTCATGCCCCTTCTTTTATGGGGAGTGGCTGACCCCTGTCTTCAGTGTTCCTGTGTCCCAGGCTTTGTGTACTAGCCTTCAGCTTTGATGCACCCATGGGAGGATGGGTTCAGGTTAACTCTGTGGCCAAGGTGCCTTCAAATTCGAATCTATTGTGCCTGTACACATGCTGCCAAGTAATTTAACAGTTTGGTTAGTTTCTCCATTTTCCTGTCTGTGGTAGATTCTGCCTCCTACCACTCAATCTGAAACAAGAGAAACCATGAGTGTCTTCACTTCTAATTCATTTTCAAGAGACTAGTTAACCTCAATGTGTTTGTATCTTCTTCTTAGCTTTTTGACGAGTTAAAAAAAAAAAGTATGATTTGTGGTCTATGCGGATTATTTTGATTGTTAGGAGTGATGGTCTCTTGGTTTTCTATCTGCCAGATCTATCTTGGAATCAATGCTGTGCTCCCTGGAGGGATCCATAACCCACTCACTCCAGCAGTTTGTCTCACATGGAAGCACCAGGTAACATATCTCAGGAATGGGGCTTACTTTTGATATTGCGATGCAATGCTCATTTCCCTCTCTATATTGATAATTTACACATTGTTTCTTGACATATTGATATCTACAAAATTTACCCTCTCGATGAGTTAATATAGATTTCTATGTTCACTACATGATGTATAAGGCATTACTTCCTTTTAAGAAATAATTCTTAATCTCCACTTACTTGTGACCTTGATTGAATTAGTTGTTCACGACTCTAGCCAATGCTCACAACACATAATGATGTCTTCATACACTCCCTACAGCTGTATTTTTTGCTCTGTACTTCCAGAGTCATGAAGCACTCATTAAATAGTATCTGAGTATTTACATGGAATGGAACCTGTACCATTTTCACAGACTGTCCTCCTCATTATCCACATCTATATTTGTTGTTTGGTTGTATGAGCCCTAGGGCAGCCTCCTCACAGTGTCATGCTGGGGGCGGGGGGCAGGGATAATACATCTGATTGATTTTCTATTGTTTCAGAGCTCTCTATAGATGTATGTGTCTCAGTTAGAACATGAAATGTTACTCTGCTTTGTACTTGGGTGTTTGGCTCCCTGGCCAGATGGTTAAGGTTAGGGACTGGGTCATCTTCTTTAATTTTATATTTTGGACCCCCCAAAACAGTCAGGGATCCTACATAAGGCTATGTAGCATGTACACCACATAATGACTGATCAACATGGTAAGTCAGGATTGAAAAATGATCACCATCTCTTTGTGCCCTCATCCAAAACTTAGGAAGGGAATGAAATGCTTTCTCGCACCAGGCAAAAGCTTCATATCATAAGTTATCCTCCTGAAGGTGGTGCCTTTTTTAAAAGCACCACAAAACCACAAGAGCCCTGAGTACATTCAGTGCCCAGGGTAGGTGCTCAGGAAACTTTGTTTAGTTTAATTGAAACCCATGACAAGCTTTCAGCGAGAGCTCCGCCTCTGTGTAAGTGTTCTCAGAGGCCAACAGAGCTGTCAGGAGTCTGCAATTTGATTTTGTGAAGAGTCCTTGATATGAACACAAACACCACTGCTGTATTCCCACCCCAGCAGAGAATCTGCTGCCCTCTGGACATGCCAACATGTATTAAAGACATGATGCCCACACACTAACAGAAAATTCTCCTCAATCATTCCATAGATTGCTGAATCTGTGGAGGTCAACTGCAGAACTACAAGGGCTTTCTCCTATGGGCCTAGTCCTCCATGATTTCTAATGTAAGAAAATGTACACAGTAAAGAATATTTCCTGTATTTGTGTACTTGTGTATAGTTGTAGCTTAAGAAAAGAACAGTTATGACTGTGACTAATTCCAAAGACTCTTAAAACCCAAACCGTTCCTAGAGTCTTAATCACATTTACTCAGATCCAGAGGGGAGACTGACCCCCATAGTGAGTGCAAGAAAGGCACCACAAGTACTTACTGACTATGCTTCATACTACGTATGAGTACATAAAGAAACAAGACATCAGCCCCGCCTGCAAGAATACTACAGCCTGGTTAGAATGACAGTGAAAGAGGTCGTGTCCAAGACGTTTGCAATGAGAATTGTATAATGATCTTACAAACTCAGAATTCCAAGGGAAAGTGGACCTTCCTCCCATGAAGGTCTGATTCCTGCCTGAGCACTAGATTCTGTTTCTTCTGCGCCTCGGGACCTCACTCCCCTGGTCACCTCCTTTCTCCACAAACTTTCCCTCTCTTCTCGCTTTCCTCAGACCACACTGACATCTCTTTCAGGCCTCCTCACTCATGCCAGGGGGCAGGGGTGCGGCAACAACCTCTTAGCTCCCTGAACAGAGACATGGCTTCCCATGGAGACAGTGCCAACTCACTTGTAAAATCCAGACTGACCACACTACCCCCCTACTCCAACCTTCAAATTGTCTGTGTAGTGAAATCTAACTCTTGGTTGACATACAAGGATTATTGTGGTTTCAGTCCATTTATGTCTCTAGTTCCATTTCCTACTGTCTCACCTTTTAAAAACCAGTTTTGTTGGGGTATAAGTGGTGTACAAGAACTCTACCGATTTGCTGTGTACAATTTGATGAGTTTGGGCATATACACACACCTGTGACACTGTCACCACAATGAAGGTAAGAGACATAGCTCTAACACCTCCCAGAGTTTCCCCGCATCCTTGTTTTTGCTGTCTTGTTTTTATGCAAGAACCTTAACATGAGAGCTACTTTTTAAAAAAGTACACAATACTGTATTATCGACTAAGTCATTATGCTATATGTCGACCCTTAGAATGTTTTCACCTTGCATAATTGAAAGCTAATACCCTTTGAATAACAACTGCCCACTCCCCCAACCCCTTGCATTCTACTGTTTTTCTCTACTTATGCCTTTGACTATTTTGGATACCTCACGGAAGTGGAATCATGCCCTTCATATCCTCTGTGACCGATCAGTCACCTAGCCAAGTGTCCTCCCGGTTCATCCATGCTGTTGCAAATGGCAAATGTCCCTTTTTACAGGATATATAATATTCCATTGTATGTATACAATACATCCTCTGTATCCATTCATCTGAAGATGGGGCACATTGGCTGCTGTGAATAATGTTTCAATGAACATGTCCCGCTGTCTTACTTCCTTATCCATACCTTGCATGCAACACTTGGCTACCTTTTCATTACCAATACACATCATCATCTCTTGTCTGCAAATATTTGTAAGAAATATCTTTCTCCATGACACCTCAATAACCTAATCCAAACTTAACACTCAGCTGAAGCACCACTTTTTGTATGAAATCTTTCCTGATAACCAATTCCACTTCATCCCCCACACACTAATTGTTTTTCCCTCCTCTGTGATTCCATAGCATCTTACATACACTTTAATGATCCTACACAACACTGCAGTTTTCTGTCTCAGCACCTGTCTACCTCAAAAACTGTAAACCTCTTGAGGGGGCGGAGCAACATGGCGGCGAGGAGACGCTGCGAGTAAGATCTCCCATTAAAAAAAGTTAATAGGGAGGAAAAGCGGCAGGTCCCAGTGAGAACTGGGACACGGAAGATAAACGGACGACTCCAGCAAACTGCCCGAAGAAGAAAGTTGCCATAAAAGAGGACGAGAAGGGAGGGAAGCGCAGAACCCTGCTCCCCTCCCCCGCCCACAGAGGCGGCACTCTCCGACCGGCAGAGACGAGGGAAACAACAAACCAAAACGCCCAACAAGAAAAACGGACACAGCAAGCGGGACTGTGAGTGGAAAGGAACTATTTCAGCCACCACACCCCGTGAACAGGAGCTGAGGCGAACCCTGAAGGATCCGCTGCGGAGGTGAGCTCCAGGCGCCAGTAAAGAGAGCCCCGCCCCCCAGGAGGAGCCCAGCACCAGCACACAGCCCCAGCCGCCCGGTAAGCTTGCACGAAAGCGGCGCTCGGATTGCAGCTGCCCAGGGCCCTGCGCCTGCGACCTAGGCTTGCGGGGAGAAGGCGGAGGCCCTCCCTGAGTGAGCAGGAACAAGGCGCCCAGGCAGGGGAGCGGGATTCAAAAGGCGCCATTCCCGCGCCACTGATCTGGGCTACAGCCCGCATCCTGGAACTGAGGGCTTTGGAACTGAGACCCGGGGCACGAAATTAGGGGCGTGGGTTCCCCACGACGGTGGGGCACAAGGCAGACACAGCACCCCAAAGCCGTTGAGGTGTACCCTACCATCCCCGCTCTGCTCCCTGTCCCACGGGGTGGAAAATCAGCTCCCCAAGGGCTCTAGGAGAGATCTCTGGTGCCACCTAGCGACTTGACCCCAGCACAGGCTACTGAAGGAGCTAGTGGCCAGCTGGGGAGTTAGCCCACACCGGGCCCCTTCTGAACAAGTAGTCTGAGCCCACAGGGAGAGCGAGCACCCACAGCCGGGGCAGACCAGGCGCGCAGAATAGTGTGCCTGAGACCAGAAGCGCAGGGAGTGTGTCCCACATCACCATTTTAGAACAGGGACATTTCTTCAGTAAAGACTACCTGCAGAAGGCTTCCTCAGGAGCCAGAGGTGAGCGGGGGAAGTTCGCCCACGCCAGACCCCCTCTGGCCTGCAGTCCAAGCCCAGAGGGGAGCAGGAACCCACCGCCAGGGCAGACCAGGCGCACAGGGGAGTGTGTCCCCACATCGGCATTTTAGAACAGGGACCTTTCTCCAGTAAAGGCTGCTTGAAACTGACAGATGACTCCTGGAAGAACCAGAGGGGAACAGAGAAGCCCACCCAAGATGCCGGCAAGTCCCAACAACACAGTGTCCCAACGCATACGGCAAATTAGAAAACAGACAGTAGGGAGGAGAAGAACCACACGCAACCTAGCAACTCTCCAGAGAAAAAGCACACCACAAAAAGAAAGCCAGCCCCAAGATTGCAACGACAATAACTTGGAAGAATTTCTGAGCCTTCCAGAAAGAGAATTTAAAATTGCCGTGATTAAAAAACTGACAGAAGTCATAAAGGAAAACAAAGATAAGGGAAAAATAATCAACGATCAGAAGAATGCAATTGAGTCCCTAGAGAGGGAAAACAATGGTCAGAAGAAAGAAATTGAGTCCCTAAAGAGGGAAGTAAAAGAAATGCAGGAGATCAAAGAATTAATGGAAGAACTAAAGAATTCTGGGAAAAGCAATGAAAGCAGAATAGATGAAATGGAAGAACGAATAAGTAATCTTGAAGACACAGAAATAAAAAGAACCAAAACAGAGAAGGAAAGAGAAGTACGAAGGAAAAAGAACGAAGAAAGACTTCGGGAACTATCTGACTCCATGAGGAAAGGAAATATAAGAGTTATAGGAATACCAGAAGGAGAGGAGAGAGATGTAGGAACAGAGAAAATATTCAAAGAGATAATTGAAGAGAACTTCCCAAATGTGAAGAAGGAGCTGAAAATTGATATACAAGAAGCAAGAAGAACACCAAACTTCCACGACGAAAGGAAAAATACAGCAAGACACATAATAGTAAAGCTCCCAAGAATCCAGGACAAGGAAAAAATAATGAAGCTGGCAAGAGGGAAGAAACAGATAACATTCAAAGGAAAACCAATCAGGCTGACATCAGACTTCTCCGAAGAAACACTACGGGCAAGGAGAGAGTGGAGGGACATAGTCAACAGACTCCAAGAAAACAGATGCCAACCAAGAATACTCTATCCCGCAAAGCTCTCCTTCCTCTTTGAAGAAAGAATATGGACCTTCCCAGACAAACAGAAACTCCGGAATTTCATTGCAACTAAACCCCCACTCCAAAAAATACTACAAGGAGTCCTAAAGCCAGAACCTCAGAGGGACGAATAACAATGAAAGAAGGCCAAAAAAAAAAAAAAGTTATTAAAAGAATAAATAAATAAAATCAAAGGAAAGACAAACACAATGGCAAATACAGATGTTAACATATCAATATTAACTCTAAATGTAAATGGACTAAACTCTTCAATAAAAAGACACAGAGTTGCAGCCTGGATTAAGAAACAAAACCCAACCTTTTGCTGTCTCCAGGAAACACATTTAGCTACAAAAGATAAAAATAGGCTCAAAGTTAAAGGATGGAAAACAATCCTACAAGCAAATGGACCAAAAAAGAAAGCAGGAACAGCTATACTTATATCAGATAAAACAGATTTCAAACTCAAAAAGATAAAAAGAGACCCCAATGGTCACTACATTATGATCAAGGGGACAATACTTCAAGAAGAAATAACACTCATTAACATATACTCACCAAACGAAGGAGCACCAAAATATATCAGACAACTGTTGTCCTCTCTGAAAACAGACATCAGAGAAAACACATACGTAGTGGGAGACTTCAACACACCACTATCAACAATGGATAGATCAACAAGACAAAAAATAAGTAAAGAAACCAAAGCTCTAAATAAGGACCTAGAGCAATTGGGCTTAACAGACATCTATAGAACACTAAACCCCAAAAAAACGGAGTACACATTTTTCTCAAGCGCACACGGATCATTCTCCAGGATCGATCACATACTGGGGCACAAGACAAACATCAACAGATACACCAAGATTGAAATCATATCAACCATCTTTTCTGACCATGAAGGCATCAAACTAGAAATAAACCATAAAAAGAAGGCAAGGAACTTTCCTACCTCATGGAGATTAAAAACCACACTACTGGAAGACCATTGGACTAATGAGGAGATCAAAGAAGAAATTAAAAAATTTTTTGAATTGAACGACAAGGAGGACACCAATATCCTAAATGTATGGGATGCAGCAAAAGCAGTAATAAGAGGAAAATATATAGCAATAGAAGCTCACATCAAGAAACAAGAAAGAACGCAAAGAAACAACCTAATCTCGAAGCTCAAAGATCTAGAAAAAGAACAACAAGAAAACCCCAAAACCAGTAGAAGAAAAGAAATAATAAAAACCAAAGCAGAAATAAATGAAATTGAAACTAAAAAAACAATCCAAAAGATCAATGAAACCAAGAGCTGGTTCTTTGAAAAAATCAATAAAATAGACAAACCCCTAGCCAGGCTCACAAAGGAAAAAAGGGAGAAAGCACAAATAAACAGGATCATCAATGAAAGAGGAGAAATCACAACGGACACAGCAGAAATCAAAAGAATAATCAGTAACTACTATGAACAGTTATATGGAAACAAGTTTAACAATCTACAGGAGATGGACAAATTCCTACAACTCTACAATCACCCAAAGCTAGATAAAGAAGAAATAGAACACCTAAACAGACCAATTACAATTAGCGAAATTGAAATGGTAATCAAAAACCTCCCCAAAAACAAAAGCCCAGGACCTGATGGATTTACAAATGAATTCTACCAAACATTCAGAGACGAATTAGTGCCTATCCTTCACAAACTCTTCCAAAAAATTGAGAAGGAAGGGACAATACCAAACACGTTCTATGAAGCCAACATTACACTAATACCAAAACCGAACAAGGACAACACAAAAAAGGAAAACTACAGGCCAATCTCCCTAATGAACACTGATGCAAAAATCCTCAATAAAATTTTAGCTATCAGAATCCAACAATGTATCCATAAGATAATTCAGCACGACCAAGTTGGATTCATTCCAGGGGCACAAGGATGGTTTAACATCCGAAAATCAATCAACGTTATCCAACACATCAACAAAAAGAAATATAAAAACCATATGATAATATCAATAGATGCTGAGAAAGCTTTCGACAAAGTGCAACACCCATTCATGATAAAAGCCCTTGAAATTCTTGGGATACAAGGAACATACCTCAACATCATAAAGGCCATCTATGACAAGCCAACAGCCAGTATCATTCTCAATGGTGAAAAGCTGAAAGCAATTCCATTAAGATCTGGAACAAGACAAGGATGTCCACTCTCACCATTGCTTTTCAATATAATACTGGAAGTCCTAGCCAGGGCAATAAGACAAGAGAAAGACATCCAAGGAATCCAAATAGGAAAAGAAGAAGTCAAACTATCACTATTTGCAGACGATATGATATTATACATAGAGAACCCCAAAAACTCCACAGAAAAGCTAATTCAACTCATCAATCAGTTCAGTAAAGTGGCAGGATACAAAATCAACACGCAAAAGTCAGTAGCCTTCCTATACACAAACAATAAATCTGAAGAAGAAGAAATCAAAAAGACCATCCCTTTTGTTATTGAAACAAAAAAAATCAAATATTTGGGAATAAATCTAACAAAAGAGGTAAAGGACCTATACAAAGAAAACTATAAAACACTGTTAAAAGAAATAGAAGAAGACACAAAGAAATGGAGAGACATCCCCTGCTCATGGATTGGAAGAATAAACATTATTAAAATGGCCATCCTTCCAAAAGCAATATACAGATTCAATGCTATTCCAATCAAAATTTCAATGTCATTCTTCAAAGAAATAGAACAATTATTGATGAAATTCATATGGAATCACAAAAAACCCCGAATAGCCAAAGCTCTCCTGAAAAAAAAAGAAGGGAATGGAGGCATCAGACTCCCAGACTTCAAACTATACTACAAAGCCATAATCATCAAAACTGCATGGTATTGGAACAAGAACAGACATACAGACCAATGGAATCGAATAGAAAATCCAGAAATAAACCCACAGATTTATGGTCAACTAATCTTTGACAAAGGAGCAAAGACTATGCATTGGAGCAAAGAAAGTTTGTTCAATAAATGGTGCTGGGAAAACTGGGTCGCTACATGCAAAAGAATGAAGCTTGACCACCACCTCACACCATACACAAAAATCAACTCAAAATGGATTAAAGAACTAGACATAAGACCTGAAACCATAAAATATATAGAAGGAAATATAGGCGAAACACTACGTGATTTGCACATCAAAGACATCTTTACAGACACATCACCCAAAGCAGTGATAGTGAAGGCAAAGATAAACAGCTGGGACTATATCAAATTAAAGAGCTTTTGCACAGCAAAAGAGACAATAACAAAAACAAAGAGAAACCCCACCAACTGGGAGAACATTTTTGCACCCAACACTAATGATAAAGGACTGATCACAAAAATCTGCAAAGAGCTGATGAGACTCAACAACAACAAAGAAAATAATCCAGTCAAAAAATGGGCAGAAGAGCTTAAAAGAAACTTCTCTGAAGAGGAAATGCAAATGGCCAACAGGCATATGAAAAAATGTTCAACATCACTTGTCATCAGGGAAATGCAAATCAAAACTACCATGAGATACCATCTTACACCAGTGAGAATGGCACATATTAAAAAAACTAGCAACAACAAATGTTGGCGAGGGTGTGGAGAAAAAGGAACTCTTCTGCACTGTTGGTGGGAGTGCAAACTGGTCCAACCACTGTGGAAAGCTGTGTGGAGATTTCTGGACCTACTAAACATAGAGCTTCCATATGACCCAGCAATTCCACTCCTAGGTATTTACCCAAAGGACACAGAAACATCAATTCCAAAGAGCACCTGCACCCCTATGTTTATAGCAGCACTGTTTACAATAGCTAAGCTTTGGAAACAACCCAAATGCCCAAAAATAGATGACTGGATCAAGAAGATGTGGTACATATATACCATGGAATATTACTCAGCATTCAAAAAAGATAAACACATGCAATTTGCTGCAACATGGATGGCGCTGGAAGGGATCATGCTCAGCGAAATAAGCCAAAAAGAAAAAGAAAAATACCGGATGGTCTCACTCATAGCAGGAATCTAGAAAACTTAAATAAGGGACCAGGAAAATGAAAAACTATAAGAAAGTGAAAATCAAAATCAACAAAAAACTATGAACCAGAGACACTTTTAGGGGGGCGGGGGCGGGAGGGGAGGGATTGGGGTCAGAATGGGGGGCTGCAATTGTATGGGGAATATAACAATAAAATTTATAAAAAAAAAAAAAAAAAAAAAACTGTAAACCTCTTGAGGAGAAAAGCTGCCTTTCCATCTTCCAATCTCAGTTTTTATAGGGCCTGGAACACAATAGACTCTCAATTGATAGTTGATGAATAAGTAATTTTAGATATTTTATCTGAATCTTATTCTGTTCTTTAAAAAGCTTGCTCTTTTGTATGGAGAGTACATAACCGGAATAGCAAGAAGGGACACTTTATTTAGTCATCTGAAAAATAAAAATGATCGTCTCTTTTATAAACCAGTTGAAGAGTAGGCTATCACTCTTAACTCCATTGCTTAGGCAAATGATTGCATGTGGAGTGTCAGTCAGTTACTGTCATCGAGAAAACAGCTCTGGGAGGCTGAGGTGTGGATGGAGCTGTCTGTTTGCACCAGTAGCTTCAGATACACATGCTCACACAAATCCATCTGACACTAGCAAACATCTGTTATGTCCATGCTCCTCTTTCCTTCAACAGATGTTTCTTGGTGGTCTAAAGTGTACTGGTGCTCTGCTAGGTGACGCAAAGAAAGACGGACATGAAGTGTAGTAGTGTGGAACTTTAGCTTCCCAAGAATGCTTTTCATCGAAACATCATGCTCCCAGCTCTTGGGATGCTCAGAACCATGACTCCCAGAGAAGGTTGGGTGCCTCAGGGACTAAATATATCTCTCTGTGATTATCAGTGCATTTCTCTACCCTATTGACAACGAGCTGCCAAAGGAGAGACACGTCTCTCATTTTTGTTTTGCTTCCCCAGTGCGCAAATAGTGCCCAGTGACAGGGAGGCAAGAAATCCACGCACCGTAAATAAACACGCTAGCAGGCGATCACCTGGTGTGAAGCGCGGCACCTCCTGTCAGTACAAGTGCGTGTTTCACCGTGATAACTGCATCTGATGCAGCGTCACGCCTTTAAAGATGATTTTAAAGGAGAAAGTCACTACCTCAAAAGGAAAATGATGGCATTTTAACTCTTTGACGCTACAGCTTTAACATGTTGTCTTTTATTTTCTTCCTCAGAACAAGAAGCAAACACAAGATTTCAGGGCTCTCCTGCTGCTGCTTCCATATTAGGTGGTCGTCAAGCGACCACAGCCTGACAGGCCATTATTATCCCATTAACTATGCCATTGACTTATACATCATCTAATGTGTCCTCTTCATGGTATGTTAATGTCCCTCCGAAAAGAGCTAAAAATAATGAATGTTTGTCAAACATAGAAGAAAATCCATTTCCAAAGACGACCTATAGTGAGAAGGGAATAGGAGCAAAGCGTTCATCCTAGAAATTTAAATGCTAAGTACTTGGGGTGGGAGGGCGGGAAACACTTTCACTCCATAACAGAATCTTGACTTTTCTGCATTTAGAGAAGCTAGGTCATGCCAGGAAGACTGGATACCAATTTTCCAGAGAGAATTATTTGCAAAATTCAGAAAATATGAAGAGCTAGGTATTGTCATTTGGAAAACTGATTTCGAAATGTTAAATAAATCATGCTTGAAAAAGGTATTGTGTGCTTTCAGATTAATATCTTCTAATAAAATTTGAGTGCTCGGAGCAAGATCTCTGAGGTTTTGAGAGAACTTTAACTACAGGACCCAGCTTGAAACGGAGTCCAGTTGGGGTTATCTAAGTTTTTCACAAGCCTATTTAACCTAACAGACCCAAAGAAGAACATTTGTTTCAGAAAATGCGATTAGAATTTCATTTAATCTTAGTGGGTTGAACATTAGACATTTATCTTTGTTCTTTCCCCCAAATCTCATTAAAATGACTATAAAGGATTTTTAAAGTAAAAACCCAAGATGTTAAAGCAAACAGAAAAACGGAGAAGATACCTTATCAAAGAGACCTTCCTGACCACTCTATAAAATAGCAGCTCAAACCCCTATTCCCGAGCCTTTGATTGCCTTGCTTATTTCTCTCTATGGTACTTATCATAAATCATGTTCCACAGTATAGCATACTAATGGATTTATTTCTGTTATATTCTTAACATTTAAAATAGTGCCTGATAGAGTCATAATATTTGTCAAACAATATAGCAATTTTGGAAAGAGGAAGGAGTAATAGAAGCTAACTTACCAGAGTGGAGAAACTAAATGCTAAGCACTTGCAAAGAGATTCTGATAATGCAAGTTAATCCTACCGAAAACCCCAGAAAGTCAAGACAAAGGTTCTTTGAAGGACAGAGATAAAGGATCAGGCAAAATTTAGGAAAAATAATTGAAAATTTCAATAATGAGAAATTAGACACCTAGGTCCCCTCTCTAGCTCATTATACCAACAGTTCCACTAGATGTTAATGGAATAAATAGTGAAATGAAAAGTTTGACAGATAATACTAAAATAAGCAAAATCTAAATATCTATTTATACTCTCTACTCTGAATAGACATAGGTCAACATAGGTTGAAACTTAGAGAATGGAAAAATATGTACCATGCAAAACCCTAAGTAGAAAACTGACTTAGCAAGATTAATATCAGAAAAAAATGGATACTAGGAAAAGTATTACCAGATAGAAACTTTATAATGACACCTGTAAGCTTCATTAATATATATGCCTAATAATAGATCAATATGCAAGAAATAAAAACGGAGAGAATCAAAGACAAATGAGTAATTCAAGATTTTTATCTTCAGTTTTTAGAAATTTGATTTTGATGTGCTTAGGTTAACTTCTTTTCTCGTTTAAGTTTAACTAAACTTCTTGAGTCTGTAAATTTAGCCGTTATTATTGAAAACATTTTTCTGCCCCATTATCTTTCTTCTGAGACTTTAATTACATATTTATCTTTTCCTTATTATTCCACAGCTCCCTCGAGTCTATTGTTTGTTTTAAATCATTTTCTTTCCCTGTTCTTCAGACCAGTTCATTTATATGGCCCTGTTTTCAAGTTCTCTGACTCTTCTGTCATTTCCACTCTGCTAGCCCAGCCAGTAATTTTTTATTTCATATCTTTTCCTTTTTAGTGCAATAATTACTGTTTAGTTTCCCCTTTTTTATTACTGTGTTTCTCTTTACCTCCTTGAGCATAGATAGAATGTTTATTTTCAAGCCCCTCTCTGCTATTTCTAACATGCAAATCATCTCAGGGGTGTCCCATTGGTTCTGTTTTCTCTCAGGAATAAATCAATTTCCCTACTTCTTCAAGCTTCAAGTAATTTTGGATTGCAGCCTAGCTGTTGTGAATGCCCCATTATAAAGACTCTGGATCCTATTAGGATCCAGACTTTCTCACAAAAGTGAGAAACACTTCAACACTTTCTCATGAAAGTATTGGCATTTTTGTCCTATGGTATTGGAACAAGAACAGACACACAGACCAATGGAATTGAATAGAAAATCCAGAAATAAACCCATAAATTTATGGTCAACTAATCTTTGACAAAGGAGCAAAGACTATGCATTGGAGCAAAGAAAGTTTGTTCAATAAATGGTGCTGGGAAAACTGGGTTGCTACATGCAAAAGAATGAAGCTTGACCACTACCTCACACCATACACAAAAACCAACTCAAAATGGATTAAAGAACTAGACATAAGACCTGAAACCATAAAATACATAGAAGGAAATATAGGCGAAACACTACGTGATATGCACATCAAAGACATCTTTACAGACACATCACCCAAAGCAGTGATAGTGAAGGCAAAGATCAACAGCTGGGACTACATCAAATTAAAGAGCTTCTGCACAGCAAAAGAGACAATAACAAAAACTAAAAGAAACCCCACCGACTGGGAGAACATTTTTGCACACAACACTAATGACAAAGGACTGATCACAAAAATCTGCAAAGAGCTAATGAGACTCAACAACAAAGAAAATAATCCTGTCAAAAAATGGGCAGAGGAGCTAAAAAGAAACTTCTCTGAAGAGGAAATGCAAATGGCCAACAGGATATGAAAAAATGTTCAACATCACTTGTCATCAGGGAAATGCAAATCAAAACTGCCATGAGATACCATCTTACACCAGTGAGAATGGCACATATTAAAAAAACTAGCAACAATAAATGTTGGCGAGGGTGTGGAGAAAAAGGAACTCTTCTGCACTGCTGGTGGGAGTGCAAACTGGTCCAACCACCATGGAGAGCTGTGTGGAGATTTCTGGACCTACTAAACATAGAGCTTCCATATGATCCAGCAATTCCACTCCTAGGTATTTACCCAAAGGACACAGAAACATCAATTCCAAAGAGCACCTGCACCCCTATGTTTACAGCAGCACTGTTTACAATAGCTAAGCTTTGGAAACAACCCAAATGCCCAAAAATAGATGACTGGATCAAGAAGATGTGGTACATATACACCATGGAATATTACTCAGCATTCAAAAAAGATAAACACATGCCATTTGCAGCAACATGGATGGCGCTGGAAGGGATCATGCTCAGCGAAATAAGCCAGAAAGAAAAAGAAAAATACCGGATGGTCTCACTCATAGCAGGAATCTGGAAAACTTAAATAAGGGACCAGGAAAAAGAATAACTCTAAGAAAGTGAAAATCAAAATCAACAAACAACTATGAACCAGAGACACTCTATGGGGGGTAGGGGGCGGGGAAGGGAGGGATTGGGGCCAAAATAAGGGGGTTGCAATTGTATGGGGAATATAAAAATAAAATTTATTTTTAAAAAAAAGTCTATGAACGTGATTGGACTCAAACTGAAAACTCTTTCTCGGGGAAGGGAATAGTTCAAATTTCAGTTAAGCCCTTTACCTTTGTTGGATGCTTTGAGTCTGCTCTGAGCATGAATGGTCAAGAGGTCAGTCTGAGATTTTAAAGCGAGTTTACACAAAGATCTGGGGATCCACCTCGAACCCTCTCCAGAACTCTGCTGTCTGCTTCCTCAGGCAGGTTTCCTATCACAGTTTCGTTGCTCATCCTTCCCTCATGCTAAAGCTCTCAACACAGGAAATTTACCTGTGATGTCCTCTTTATCCTAATCTGTAGTCCAAAATGTGCCTGCTTTTGCTCACTCACCAGGGCCTTCAGCTGGTTGCTTTTGCCTTTTGTCTAGAGTTTGCAGTTTCAAATTAAAGATCAGTCTGTTAAGAGGTTACTCAGTCCAGGCTGGAAACAGAATTCTTCCTCCATCTTTGTTAACTGTCAAATCATGTTAAGTGCTGAGAGCAAGTCTTTGGAGGACAAGAAATCATAATAAAAGCCAGGTATGTATATTGAATGTCTAAGAAAAGGATCAGGAAGTATCATGGTGAAGGATCTCTCCCCAGATCACCCTGAGAAATCCGGCTGGTTTCTGGATGCCTCTCAGCAGGAAGGATGAATCCAGGCTGGAATCAAGAGAAGCTTCGGGTTTTGATGAAGCAGTTGGAGATGGCAGGACTGACAGCACGGTCTCCCTTTAGGACAAAGCCCACACCCTGGGAAACGAGACAAAGGCGCCGGCCTCAGGAAGGGCACAGGAGCACAGATGCAGGGGGCGGGCAGGTGTCTACTGAGGCAGAGGATGTTGATGGAGATTGTGTCTTGGGTCATAGTTGTAGCCCAGAGACTAGAGAAGAGGAAAACCTTCAGAAAGTCATCAAATGGCCTCAATTCTAGAAACAGATACTAGAGATAGGGCCTGGACCCTTCCACTGTTAGGAAACTGGTTCTGTAAAAACTTTTTTTAATGTAATGAATTTAAAAAAAAAAAAAAAGAGTTGCTAAGACAAAAAAGACGTTGTTCCACGTAAAACTTGTCTTTGCAAGTGCATTTAATTTACCTCTATAGTACTAGTCATATTACTTACAAATGTCAATTTTCTTTCCTGCTCATAAAAATAAAACTTCTGAAAAAAACTAAAAGTGGTTCCCTTAAGTAGTGATTAAGTGCCCTGTTGCCTCACCCCTGCATGAAGAGCTCCTGTCTTGGGATTCTGTACTCAGCAATGCTGATCAGCCACAATGTGCAACGACCTGGAGATCTTTTTTCATTGTGGATTCTGATTCTGGCAGGGGGAACTAAAATTCTGCATTTCCAATAAGCTCCCCAAGTGAGACCAGTGCCAAAATGGGGGCCACATTTTGAGTGGCAAGGTTTTAAATGACCTCAGTAATAGAACTCAACACGTTATTTGTTCGCTTGCCTTCAAAACCAGATCGTATTGCTGTTGTGCTAATGTGCCACCCTCTTAGGGTCCCGATAGAGCCCCTGTGGAGACACAGTTTTGACTTATAGTAATTGTCACAGATGTGTATTTCGGTTTATACCACATGTCAGCCAAAGCCATCAGGCTAGAGACAGTCATTTGATCACACAGGGGTCCTGTGAGGGATTCAGGGCCAATG